TCCTCAACAAGGAGACCTGCAGCTATACCGTGGTGGAGCTGGAGAACCCAGAAAAGAGCTGTGTTGTCAGTGCTTGGGTAATGTAATGTGCTTCTGGCGGGCCCAGACCCTCCCACGTTGGTCCTCATTCTCTTGTGGCCTCCAAAAGTCTAGGATTGTGTAGCCCTACCTATCAATAAAAGATTTTTTGAGCAAATACTTGCCTATGTGTATACTTTTAATTCATAAATTATATATGGAATAATATATTGCACATTATAAAGCATCCAAACATTTAAAGGAGGAAAAAAATGAATTACTGTTACAATGTTTTTCCTGCAGCCCAGTCATATACCCCTTACTCTGGAGACCACTGTGGCTTTAGCTGCTTCTGATATGCCCACACTCTGCCGCCTTGGGGTCCTGCTATCTGGTGGACAATTCAGGAAATAAATGTGCCTTTAAAAGCACATCTCTTCTTTTCTTTGAAGTGTTCATGCTTATCCTACCTTCTTCTTCTTCAGGGTGTGTCCTCCATGTTGTATCCCCACATACCTCTGTGTCTGCCTGAGGTTAGTGCATATTAGAGCAAGAGAGCCTGGAAGAAGTACTCCCAAAACCACATGCAACCCAATGCGAGTTTAACAGGCCAAGGGTTCTGCCTTGTCGGTGGGGAACTGTTGGGTGTTGGGCTCCAGTATCTGCTATCTATTACTACATATCCTAAAACTGAATGACTTAAACAGTGACAAGATTAATTATCTCTTGCTGTTTCCGTGTTAAAGAACATTTGTTCACATTGAGTCAATCAGGTGACTGAATACTGCCTGGGCAGTGCTATCAACCTGGGTATACAGTGAAGCAAAGAGACTAGGTCCCTGCTCTCCTGGGGCTTACAATCTTGTGTGTGTTATCTGTATGTATGTGACAGATAATAACCAAACGGTCAACTGGTAAACAATCAGTGGACAACTGGTAAACAGCTTTATTTCCCCTGTGCCTCCTAACCCTACCTGTTCAATCATGCTCTGTGGACTAGTTCTCCACATGCACCAGGTGTGGAGAATTTCTTGGGGTGATATGGCGCAAACCAGCGTATCCTTTGGAGTCAGAATGATGTGTTTGGGGTCCGGGCTCAGAAATTTATCTTTGCATCTGTAAGTTAAGGCTAAACAATATCTGCCTTGTGAGGTCACTAACTTTTTCAGTTAACCACAGATAATAAAAAAGTGCTTTGGTTGCTTTTAGTTACAAAAACGTCTCATTCCAGGGTCTGCACATGAACTGAGGATGTAGAGGAAGAGGAAAGTTAAGACTGGCTGAATTTACCTCAATGGCACCGATGCAGACTTGGATACCTCTGCCTGTGGCGGGTGTTTAAAGCTATTTCCTCGTGAGTGTCTGGGACTTTCCCCTGCTGAGCCTCTTTCTCCGTGTTCCTCTTCCAACCACCAGCTGGGAAGGCACTCTGGGTATCTGCAGCCCAATCTATGCATCCTGTCTTTCGGCTGAGTGTGGCTTGTCCCTTGTAGGAGTCACTCTTGTGGGGTTCATAAAACCTTATCATGATCATCTCCTTTGCAAATCCTATTTTGATGGTCCTTTGCCTTGCTGGGAAATTTGGGGGGCGGTTGACACTGAGTATTGGGGACCTAAGTCCAAAACTGAGAGAATCCCACATAACAAGTGGTCACAAATAAACAAAATTTAAATGTGGATAATGCCACACTGGGGAGAACGGGCAGCGAGGGGCAGGAATGGGGTACGGTGTGTGGAGAATTGTATGGGGTGATACGATGCAAACCTGGGTATCCTTTGGAGTTAGAATGATGTCGGTGGGAATCTGGGCTCTGACATTTATTTTTGCATCTGTATGTTAAGGCCAAATAATATCTACCTTGTGAGATCATTTGGTGTGAGCGAATCACTTAAGATAGTTCTCGGCGCAGAATTTGCCTTCAATAAACATATTTAATTTGATTTAATTTATTCACGAAGGGTGAAAGGACACCGACCGCTGCCCGGGAAAAGGGGTGCGCCTGCGCCCTGCGCCCTCTAGAGGGCGGTCAAGGGCTGCCGGCTGACCCGAGAAACGATCTCGCGACACTGTCAGACCTGCGGCGAGAAGCGTGGGAGGAAGGTTGCGTTCTCGCGAGAACTCGGTCTTCGAGCCCTTCTCTTGTGTTGGGTCGGGTTTCTGTTCACCCAAGGTCCTTTCGGTTCTCCTGGAGCCACGTTAGGAGCCGGTAAGAACGCGAGCGGCCGCCGGGGCCGGTGCATCTCCTCCTGCTCTCCTGCCGCGACCGGTCCGGAGGCGGGGGGTGCTGGGACCGCCTGCCCTCTGGGCCGGGGCCTGGCTTCCCCTCTACACGCCGGCCCTGGGGCCACCTTCGCCCGCCTGCCAGGCCGGCCCCGGCCCGGGTGTGACAGCTCCGCGGTTCCGCTGGCTCTTGCCTCTCGCCGGGGCCTCTGGGGCGGGGCGGGGGCCGTTTTCCAGCACAGGTCCGAGCACATCCTTTCCTAGCTAGCCCGGCGGAAAAGCTAGTGTTTCTTCGGCCCCCTGTGTGGCCGAGCCAGCGTTACATACCATCGCATTTAATTCTCTAACAATTCCAAGAGGTAGTTTTAATTGTCTCGGTTTTACAGATGAGACAAACGAGTCTTGCTCATCGGTTCATTCCACCAACAATCAGTTTGGGCTGCTAACCAGAAGGTCGGAAGCCCTGGCGGTGTAGTGGTTAAGTGCTGTGGCTGGTCAGCAGTTCGAATCCACCGGGCGCTCCTTGGAAACCCTATGGGGCAGTTCTCCTGTGTCCTGGAGGGTCGCTTTGGGTCGGAATCGAATTGACGGCAGCGCGTTTGCCTTTTTTTTTTAAAAAATGTGTTCAAGGTGTTAGTGGTATTAAGATGAAAAAAATGAACATAAGTCCTAACCCTTCTGGGACTAAATTCTCGTGGTGGGTACAACAATAATCATATAACAGAGTAGCTTTAAGTGCTGAGTGACTATAAACAGGATTATTTGATCAGGAATGTCTTGACTCAGAGTGCTAGAGTCTGTCTGACCCCAAGGGCAGGGCTTTTTTCTCCAGACCATTTTGTACCCCTTTCTAATCAGGGTAAAGTTCATCATGTGTAACTACCTTTGGCTAGACTTGGCTTTCCACTTCCCCCTTGATAATTTGGAAGGAAATATGGTTGTAGGGACTCTTGAGTTACTTTCCGAGTAGTCACAGTGGGCTCGTTTTACACTGGCGCCCTAGTGTGACATTCTGAACTTTAAAGAACATCAGTCCCTTCCACTAAGGCTGACTCAGACGCTGCAGTGGGAGGTCCTCCGGAGAAGGATTCATATATAAAGTGCAGGTACTTTGGAGGAGGATTTACTACTACCTTGTGACTTAGACAAGTCACTTAGTTTGCACTTATGCAGATTTGCTATTTCCAGATTAGTTAAGATATGTAAATGAGAGAATATTTGTAAAGCCTAGCACAGTGACATGCCTTATATTTTACTTCTCCTTCCCTCTCTTCCCATGGAACACTTGTCCTTGGGCCTCTAGGCAAATCCTAGGGGTATAAAGTTTTATGAAAGTTTGTGTCTAAATAAACCTCTCCAATTACATTATTATGTTAGGGCACACAGGTATTTCAAAAGTAGAAAGCACATTGAGCTCTGTAAGGAAAGGAAGATGTGATTCTCCAAGGTGGGGGCGGGGGGAGGTATCATATTTTAGAATTACCTGAGAGGTTTTTTTCAAATTACACAGTACTTCCCCCATTTTATTAGATCAGTGTGGGCCCTGGTGGTGCAGTGGTTTAGAGCTTAGTTGCTAACTGAAAGGTTGTTGGGTTTGAGTCTACCCAGTGGCTCTGAAAGAGAAAGACCTGGTGATCTGCTCTGGTAAAGATTACAGCCTAGAAAACCCTATGGGACAGTTCTATGCTGTCACAGGTGGTCACTATGAGTCGGAATCTACTTGACAGCACCAAACAACAGAACAGCTGTGGCAGAATGTCAGGAACCTGTATAGGAGTTTCATAAAGCTCTGCAGGATATTCTGACATGGATTCCTCCCCCCATCTGAGGGCCTCTTGGTTAGTGTTTTATAAATAATTTCCCTCATATAGTTAAGTATTAGCATACTAGAAGACATTCAGAGCCAGTCGTTGCTGCTGATGGACTTTTCTTATTCCAAAGAACTTGTATTTTTTGGTGAGTCAGTGGCACAAATCCTCCTCTAGGTGGCAGGTTTACCATTGTATCCTTAGGGACTATCACAGTCCATGTCGTTTTAGGCAATAAATACTTGTTGAATGAATACATAAAATCTTAATACCCAGTCTCTTCAGCATTCATTGTGTGGTTGTGGACTTTAGAGTCAGTCTTGGGATTACATCTTGGCTCTTCTCCTTAAAAGCTTGTAGGTAATGTATTTAGCATTTCCAAGCCTCCTTTTAAAATGGTGGTGATCATCCCCACTTTAACGTTTATGAAGACTAAATGAGGTAGTGTGTAAAAAAAAGTCCTGGCACTTAGTAGACTAGAAGTAATTATTGAATCTATGCATTCAACGAATACTTTTTAACCATCTCCTATGCAACTCTGTGAACACTACATAGAGTCCCTATCTATATGGAACTTACCTGCTAGTATGTTTTCTGAAGGGGAATCAGAAAATAAACAGTTTCTACATGTAAGATTCTGATGAGTACTACGGAGGAAAATAAAGCACATTAACGGGGTGGTGGAGGAAGGAATGATTATTGTATATAAGATGATTGGAAAAGCCTCACTGAAAAGATGACCTTTGAGCAGACACCTTATGGAAGTGAGGAAGGGGGCTGTGAGGATGTCTGGAGAAAAGTCAAAGGGCCGTGGGGCAGAAGCATCCTTGATATACTGGAGGAGCAACAAGGAGGCCGTTGTGGCTGGATTGAAGAGAGAAGGAGGGGAGGAATGGAGGAGTGGGCTGCAGTCATGAGGTTTCTGTGGGAATCTAGGTGAGAGGTGATGGAGGCCTATTAAATGGATGAACTACATAAGTTTTAATTGTCACACTCCATTTTCTGACTAAAAGTAATAAAACTGGCTAATACCTGTATTGTTGCTAGGTGCTGTTGAGTTGATTGACTCAAGGCGACCCCATGTGTTAGAGAGTAGAACTACCCCATAGGGTTTTCTTGACTTTAATCTTTACAGAAGCGGATAATCAGGTCTTTCTCCCTCAGAGGCACTGGGTGGATTCGAACT